TGTATCAGTTTGAGAAAATTGACTAATTGGATATAACTTTATTCAAGGAGTCATTCAACCTGAATAAGAGGTGGTGCTATAAAGTCTGTCATGTCAATTGGAATTATAAACTTATATTGGAGTTAGACCAGAAACCTTTTCTTGTATAATTTTCCATGCTTTGATCTGATTTCAGCCTGTGATTGTTGGGAAAACCAGAGGTTTCATCTTTATTAAATCATTTAAAAATTATATTTTTTATCTATTAATTAAATATATAATTATTTGTATTTTAATTTAAAACAAAATATATTATTATATTATACTATTAATAATAAATTAATTACAATTATTTAAATTTTATTAAGTGGTCCTAAACTTTTGACCAGGAAGTGTATATTAATATTTAAATTCTAAATAATTAATCATTATTACTAATATTTCAAACAAAATGACTTTTCACAATATATTAACTAATAACAAAGATCTAATGCCAATATAAATAAACAAATTGTGATCTTGCAAACTCATAAAGAACTTGATAAGTTTAATAGTATGTTTGACATTATATAAACTAATACTATATGGCTCTTCTACTTGAATAAATTGTTACTAGGCACATAATAATTTTGAGAAAACTGGATTATCAAACTCCTTCAATTGTGTTTTACTATTATCTAAATATATCTTCTAATTAAACATCTCATAATTATGAACATCATCATGAATTTGATTAAGGAATAGTGTTACTTCATATACAATATTACTTTGCTCTTCAAATGTTTTAGCTTCTAGACTAATCACATTTAGTAATCTTAGTTGGCAAAAATTTTTCTAATCAATTAGTTGTTTTCAATATAATTAATTAGTTGTAACTAAAAATCTTGAATTTTGATTGATTAATTTTGAACTTTGTAACTAACGATTTGTAACATTAATCATATTGATACTTCCTATTTGCAAATGATAAAAGTTGCATGTGGCAAACATTCAGATATTATGAATTGATTTCTCATGATATATTCAATGAGCTATTAGGTCTGCTAAAAGACCAATATTATTACATGTGTTTATTTCAACAAAGAATATCCAGGTTTCCTTTCTCTTAGTATTTTACTGGACTTCAGTTATAAATTGTAAAATGTCTTTCTCCTTGATATCCACATAAAGATTAAGAACAAAAAATAGAATTTTAATCACACAGGCTAGAAACCTAATCAGATTTGTCAAAATCAGAATTGAATTGATAATATTTTCTTAAATAAATATAGTAATGCATAATAATTATCTTTCTTTATCTGGCCTCCTTACAAATAATAACAGATATATTTGTCTGCACTCACAACAAAATCAATATAATCTTTAATATCTTTAGAAATCTTATAGATCCATTTAACAACTTGCACTTTTTGTTAGACATTAAATGTTTACTTATATAAATATTAGAAATCCAAAATCAATTACATCTTTAGATATTACTATTGTTATTTTCTCTGACATGTATATTGAGCAAATCCAAATTGTTTCTTTTTTTGAATTAATGTAATTTCTTGAATAGTATAGTTCTTAATTGTAAATGTAACCAATTTAGTTATAAGACTGCTAAATTTACTATCTATTTCTATTGTATCCTCAATCATATCTTTCTGGAAGACACTTTTATTACAACAAATTCTCTCTCCTTTAAGTTCTTTAAAAATTTATTCAAATCCTACTTGCAAATTTCACATTCAATAATTTGTCACTTAGTATTGTCTGTTCTAGCTTTAGCAAGTTTTGTACATCATAAATTTAATTTTCTATTTCTTGTTATATATTGACCAGATCAAATTTGTCATTGTCAAAAAAATTTATTAATTCATTTTCACAGCTATGAGTATTTCTGAGTGATTCAAGTATTTACATGATATTCGTCATCTTTTATTATTTGATATGTGGATCTGAGTATTAATTTGATATTGGATGCTTAAGCTAGAAGATACCAATATTATACAGAGATATTTTTTATGCACCAGTGACCTTCTTTGATTTGGCAATATCTGAACCAATAGCAATTTGGAATCCTTCATTTTCTTCATCCAAATGAAAATTTATCTTCTTCATCTTCAACTTGATCAATGCTTCCACATTACTTTATAGTCATTATCCTTTTCAAACTTAACTTATATTTTTCAAATTCATATTTTTCCTCTTTAGCAGATACTATGGCAACTCTATATTTATCATTGATTTCTTCTAAAAGTTTATTGTCATTTATGACATCTTTAGGATAATAATCTATTATTTTTTTTTTCAAATCATTAGCTGCGCAAATCTATTTAGTGCAATAGTATTAATGATCATTTTAATATCTCTTTTCTTATTAAAATCCATTAGTAAATTATTCTACAAAATGTTATCTATAGCACTTCAAATTATATATTGAGTTTGATTATTAAGGTTTAGATAAATGAATATTAAGGTAAATTTGTATGTCTTGTCTATGGTCTATAAGATACTATAACTTATTAAAATATTAGATAACTCCTTTAGCTTTTTTTTTTTTTAAAGTGGTTAAGTGCACCAATGCAAGACTTTTTGTTGATATATATATGCATATCCAAGTTACATTTGAGAACTCGTACAGATTTTCCTGCAGATTATCCTTGTACAAGTACTTTCTTCTCAAAACCCCAATTCTATTATATAATGATTTATTATAAGTGATTCTAAGGGGCAGATTTATAAGGAGTAAAAATCCTATTACTAGTTTTAAACTACCTAACCTATTCTAGATCCAATTCATAGAAGGGTAATGCTTAAGGAAATTGATCCAAATGCCTCTTTTCATCTTATCACCTGAACCTCAGATCACAACTTGTACCAATTCTGGGCTTACACAAGCTATAACTATTCTCATTACCTGCAGTAGATATTACCCTTTTAAGCTCTGCACCATATTGAGATAGCCTAGGCTAGAGCTTCAACTATTATTGGTCGAATGTCTTTATGGGATTGGTTAGGATAAAGTACAGCCTTGTCTATATATCTAAATATTTTTGGTGCTTTCTAATTTCCAATAATCATCATGTATCAACCAGACGATCTTTGCGTCATGTCACCTTCTTTGGAAATCACAATCTTAACATCTGCTGGATCTGCGTGTAAATCGGCTTTCTATGAGAAACAGCATATTTCAGGTTACGGCATCAGATACCATATTGAGTCTATTCAATTGTCTTCATCTGGAATTAAACTGATATTTTGTAATTTGACCTGTGAAGCATTAATCACTGTGCTATAGACTCACAGGTCTTCTTCTTAGGCTTTTTTTAATACACTATAAAATAATTGTATTTAATAAAAATATAAAGAGAAAACAACTTGAGAAAGAAAATAAGACAAACATATTCTCCTTTCTTCATTTTTTTTTTTTTCTTTGCTTCTATAATTTTCTGTTTTTTTTTTCTTTCTGCTTATAAATCTTTTACTGTTTTTTTTTGTGTTCTGATATAAAATTTTTTGGATTGATTTTTTAATTTAATAATTCTGGCTCATTAGAAGATTTATGATTTCAACACGATAATTCTAATCAATTTGCTTATAGAACAAGATTAAAGTTAGTATAGTACCAATATAAAAGAAAAAGATTTATCATATTCTTATAACTATTAAATAAATTTCAAACCTTTAAATAATAAACTCATTATGTTATTTGAATATCCAATATATTTGTGATTTATTATTTTGTTAATATGTCTAATAGAAAAATAAATGCATATATTTTTTAGTAGAAAATAAATAGTTTCAAAAGTTAGAATTTAATCACATATTTTATAATTATGTATTAATTTAATTATGTAAATATTAAATCACTAGTGTAATAAATAATATCATATTATTAAAAAAAAAAGTGCTTATTTAAGGAAGTTTACTATATATATATTATACATGTTGCTGAAATTCGTAGATCCTTGACGCAATTGACGCAATTATTTGACGCAATTAATTGAGTCACTATTAAAACATATAAATAATTGAGTCATGACGCAATTATTTTTGAGAATTTTGGGAATTGAGTCAACAGAAAATAATTTATGCTGCATGTATAATATATATTATATAAAAATTTCTCTTTAATATTAGTTATATAAGTAAAAATGTATAATGTGATAAATAACTTATATAAATAGTTAATAGCAATCTATTGTTTCTTCTCAAAATGTTAAATTGATAGATTGGATAATTTAAACTAATGATAAAACTTTTATCTCCTAGAAATAGGTTTTTTTAAAAATAATATAACTTATTTCAAAAGTAAATAGTATATTATCAGATATGAAGTAGGATAATAATAATAGAGAATATTTAATATATTATAAAATTAATAACCTTCAATAAAAGCTTGCACCTAATACTGTTTTATTATAAAAAAAAAAAAAAATAAAATTTGAAAATACATATATATTCTAATATTCTAATATTTTATATATATTGACAAAAGCATATGTCAGTTGTTAAATCATTATATTAAAAAATAATTTTAAATAATTTTTAATCTTTTTTTTTTTTTTTATATTAATTTCATTTATATTTTACGTAATTAAAAAAAATTTTTTTATAATATAATACAATTAATTTATATATACAGTATATAAAAGTCTTTCCTACTGTATGTGGAAATATCAAAAAGTAAAGAATATTGGTTTTTAATATGAAATCAATTTAAGTAAAACAATATACATACATTATGTAATTTCCCGCTATAGCAATAATAAAGATGGCATAAGCAATAAGTAATATAAATATAACGTTTTGCCTTTAAATATATTGGGAATAGATTAAATTTGCCTTAAAACGAATCCCGATATATTTTTTTATTTAATCTTCGACGATGGACTTTAAGAATGAACTTTTTTTTCATGAACATGTGCCAGTAATGTGGCAATTACGTAACCAATGTTATGATATAAATCAGAAATCGAGATCAAAAAATTTTTTTCAACGGCTTACGAGCTTACGAACAAGACCCAAATTTTATGATGTCTAACTTTAAAATTGGTGAGTTTTTCTAGCAAATTACGCAAATTAAGAAAAAATTGTATTGATATAAGTCTGAATATTTTATTATAGCCGATGTCTCGCTTGCTAGTTGGGGGCGCAAAGAAATTGACTTGGCAGAAAATGAAATGCCTGGTTTGATGACTTTGCGTCAAAAATATGGTGAATCAAAGCCCTTGACTGGAGCTCGTATCGCCGGTTGTCTTCATATGACCATCCAAACAGCGGTGTTAATAGAAACACTTACGCACCTTGGAGCTGAGGTTTCCTGGAGTTCTTGCAACATTTTTTCTACCCAAGACCAGGCGGCTGCAGCTATCGCAGCTACTGGTGTGCCTGTGTTCGCCTGGAAAGGAGAAACCGAAGAAGAGTATTTATGGTGCATTGAACAGACACTTAATGCCTTCAAAGATGGAAAGTATCTAAACATGATCCTCGACGACGGTGGTGATTTGACGAATTTGGTCCATAAAAAATATCCAAAGCTTTTAGAAGGTAAATTTTTATAATATGATTTTTAAATATTTAAACTTGATTCATAAAATCTTCTCTCTTTCAAGGTATAAAGGGTATTTCTGAAGAGACTACGACTGGGGTACATAATTTATACAGGATGTTAAAGGAGGGTACCTTGAAGGCGCCCGCGATCAACGTAAATGATTCCGTGACAAAGTCAAAATTCGATAATCTTTATGGTTGTCGTGAGTCTCTCATTGATGGAATTAAGCGTGCCACCGATATTCAAATTGCGGGTAAAGTCGCAGTCGTAGCCGGATACGGTGATGTCGGTAAAGGTTGTTC